CCGACTCACCACGTCCGAGGTTCATCTTTACCAGGGCCGCCCATTTGGAACGGTGCTATATCAAGATATGGCTAATCTCATCGGAGGCAAACGATTCGTCTCCAATAGTGTGCAACTAGGCATCATCTATCCTTCATTTACCCGATTCCGTCTCCACTCAACCTCCTCTTTCCAATACTTTCCATTTCAATATCTTTCATCACCAATGTACATGTGAACGAACCACAGACGGTTTAGTCCAATCACGAATAGTAATGTGGTAACCTTTTACAGTCATGCCGAGAGCATGAAGCATCGTCTAACCGACAGAACCCTGTACGCACTGCCGACGGCCCCTGCGACTATCAACTGATATACGTCTACTGCAGGGAAGATTCTTAGAATATGAGATCAAGCCGGTCCGATTAAAACACGTGATACGTAGTACGCGTAACAGAATAGAACAAAAATTAAAGTATTCACCAATCAACGCGTCAACTACACGCTGACCAGAAACGAACTATTACAAACAAACTATTCAAGCTGGTAGAAAACAAAGTTCCTCGGTTCTACTCTACCAATATGTTTTCTGTTAAATAACTCCAACCCAACACAGAGCGTGGCAACTACAGAAACTGTTCAGAGGTATTTGAATAAATGAAAGCTGATAAGATCAGCCCCACGAACACCAGTGGCGTCAACGGAAAAAAGACTTAGCGCTCGCCCTGTTGATCGATTCTCTAAGGTCGTCCTCCAGCCTTTTCCTTGAAACTGCTATACAGTGCTTCCTCCAACTTCTTCTTAGCTCCTTCGCATGACGACTTCGTGTCTTCAACTTGACCCATATCCTCGAAGATCTGACCCATCCTCAATAATGCATACGCCCTTCTCATCCGAATCTACAACAACAAAAAACCATCACTTCCGCACACTCCTACAAATTCACTCACCTGCCACGGGGCTGATATGTCCATCAAAACTCTTTTGCAAATAATCTTCACAGTGTGCTCGATATCAAGAGCGCACATATCCCACGCTGTACGTAGGAACACTGGTAGAGCACTCTCGAACTCCTAAAACACTCAAAACAAATCTTCACCCCAACAAAAGCCACATGCCAACCTCAGATGCCTTCTTGAGATCGTCATCATTCAGCTCAATTGGAGTATCATCCTCGCCAGATTCGCCGCGAGCTGAGAGAGAAGCACCAGTAGAAATCTCGTGGCGCGCGGTAATTTCCAACCAACACCCACCTTTGCGTTCTTCCTCCCTCTTCTTCATTGCCTGCTTCTGCGCCTCCTCAGTAGCATTCTGCATTCTGTTCAACACCATCCTGAATACCACACCTCGGTGAAATCCACCAATATCCGAGCCACCCTACGCTGCCTTCACCATCGATGATGCTACTGAGTATTTATTCGACATCGTCCTACTCGTTGCCTTCCACGA